TAAGGAATTTTTTCTCCTAAAGTTATAACATGAATAGTTTCTTATATGTAGCCGAGAGATCGGCTTACTGGACCACCCGGTACATTTTAAAATGTACTTAATGTCTTGACGAAAATTATACATAATTTCAAAATTTCACCCACATAATATAGTTTGTTAAGATCAGGTTGTTAAGGAACTTTTAAAAACCTAGAAATATACAGGGTGTTTTATTATATAAAAAATAAATATTATCGACTATGTTAGACTTGCATGAATCATCTTGTACATTTAAAAGTTGAGGATATCAGCTTTTTTTATAGTTTTCTAAAATAAGGACACAAACATTTTTTTCCATGACTGGTTTCTATATTGTATAAAAAAAATAACTGACTTTTTAAGATTAAGGTATTCATTAGTAGTACGTATTTTATTTAATTTCATAAACATTGTTTACAATTAAGCACCATTTGCTCCAGCGGTAACAAAACAGATATGTTGTGAAAATCCATTACTAAGTTTTACAGCGATGAAAAAAATTACGTGAAGTTCGGTGCAGAATAATGGATCTTTAAAATAATTCAGGTGATGTTCAACTAATATCTAATATACGCCTTTATTTTGTTGCTTGTTATGGCATAGTTTTTATATATTTTTGATTATACATCATTAGGGTTTGCATAACTATATATTTATAATACTACCATCTTTCTTAAAAGACTCATTAATATTCAGTTCAGCGGGGTGTGAAATTCGATAAACAAGAGATCTACCTATTTTATGAAATGAGCCCTTGGTTATGTAATTTCACACCTTGAACAATAACACCCCGCTGTGCTGAATATATATGTTTTTTAGAAAGATGGTAGTACTACAAATGCATACTTATTATTCGAATCCTATACATCATATATCATTCATTTCAACTGAATTCCAATGTTTTGCAATTGGAATATACTACAAACAGATTTGGATCAATTTAGTTAATGAAGAAAAATTGGTCAAAAAATGTCAGTTATTGTTGACTTTTTATCATATTGCCATAAAAAAAAACCAAAAATCGTCCTTAACTCTTGGTAAACAATTTGGATTTATTCTCTTACTTCACTGGCAGATGTTAAAGGTAAAATGGAACTATTGGTAATTCAATATTTTGGACAAGTATTTAAACATTATCTATCAAAAACAAAATTACATGATAATATAAATGAATGTAAGAGAAAAAAGAAATGAATAAAACAAATCAATTGAGAAAGATATAGAATGCGTTGGAATATGAATTTAATATCACAGAAAAAATATAAATTAGATTATCCATAAGACTGTGATTCTTCACTAAATTGAAAAAAAAAATAGTAAAAATAGTGAAATAAAACATTAGACCCCGATTTTGATACTTTAACGTGGTAAAAGTTGGAAAATTATGTAAATTGTAAGTATTACTTATAAATCGGCGTTTTTATTCATCAGTTCGCTTTTCAAAAAGGAGCAATAACAACTTATTTAAAAAAAATATTTATTAGAATAAAATTGCATCACTTATTTTTATTAATATTTACTTTTATTTCTATTTCATCTGTTTTACTAAAATCACAATTAAAAGCATAGAGGTAGGTTGATATCTGGGTTTACAGGCCTTGATTTCGAATTATTTGTTGCTGATACTCCAGGAAAGTAAGGAGAACACAACAAGGAATCACCATTATAGTGTAACAAACTTTAGACCTGGTGGGTATAGAAAAGAAGGATAAAGTGTGTTCACCTTGAAAACCCGCGCTCAGATGTTTTGAGGAAACAACGGCGAGCTTTGGGACGTGGGTATATAAATTAGACTAAAGAATACGCCGCCAACTGGCTTATCGTTTTCTCCAATGGAGTGCAGCAGATGCCCTGATTTTAAAACTAATTGGTTTTCTCCTTTTCTTCATATTTCAGAAAGTCCCAATACATCCTATTTTATGCAGTATTCTTCCTACCCGAAGATACTATATTCAAAATACAAAATAGTTGGTAAATGGTATCGTCTGTACTTTATGGAGGGTTACGATGTCTTAGTTCACAGGTAGCCGATTCCTTAATGTTTTCTTCGACACAATCATAAATTTGGTTTTCTTTATGTTAAGGTTACGTCATATTTTTAATAGCTTTTGAAAATAGTTGAGATTTTCTGGAATGATGATGGTATCATCTGCGTATCTAATAGTGTTAATAGGAATTCCATTCACTTTTATACCAATATTTTCGTTCTCCTCTTTTTATGTTTATTTCTTCTGTTTATCTTTATTCAATTTGCCCTGTAGCGTGTTGGTTATAGTAAAGTTGGTGATTTTTCGTATGTTTTTGTCTTTAAGAAGATAAGTTGAACTTGTCTCACTTTGTCGAATGATTTATTGTAATCAGTAAAACATACATAGACATCTTGTTTTACATATATACATCATGTCAATGTATTGTATGCAAACAGTGCTTCTCTTATTTTCTTTTTAATCCAAATTGGGTGTCACCGAGGTCTTCTCTAAGTTTGGCATATAGTCTGTGGTACATGATTTTCAGACAGAGTTTTAACATATGACTCATTAAACTTATTGTGCGATATTCATTGTAGTGTTGGGCGTTTGGTTTCTTTGGGATGTTTATAAAACTTAGATGAATTTATGATGAAGAAATTTAAAATGTAGATTTGAGACATTCTTGTGGTAATATGTCAGTTCTATAAATGTTACTGAAGGAGTCTTTCAACGTGTCTTTATTTCTCATCCACTAAATTAATAATGACAATTGGGAGGTTATCAGGTCCAAACGCTCCTATGCATTTTTCATATTTTTCTAAGCATATTGAATTTCCTCTTTTATTATATCTGGTCCTGTTTTGTTTTCTTGAGGTATCGTTTCGTTTTCTTCAAAGTTGTCTTCAAAAAGGTTTTCAAAATAGTTCTTCCATAGTTTAATCTTTCCTTCGATGTCGCTTACGAATTCCCCTCCAACAAATAACAAATTTTTTTTATGGTTTTTATTTTTTCTGTTAGTTCTTTCACTCTTCGATATAAATTAAATGTGTGTTTTTCTTGTAGTTATTCTGTTTCTACGCACTTCTATGTGTAAATCAATTTTTTTGAATTTCGAATCTTCTATTTAATTTTATTTTGGATTTCTTTTTACTTTTCAGTTATTTTTGTTTTCTTCGGGTCTTAATGAGCATTGCATCTCTGTTATTCAGTCTTATATTTTACTTTTCTTTTCTTTAAGATGTTTCAATGATTAGATTCGCTCTTTTGATAGATATCCACGTTGTATTTATATTTTCACCGTTAGTCTCTGTTTTTTTCTAAATATTCTTTCCTTTCTGCTAGTAGTTTTTCTTTACCGCATGGTTGTTTGGCTTCCTTACGTCTATTTCTTGGAGGTCTACTTCTTTTTTATTTTCTTCAATTTTATTTTTATTTTAATGTGTAATATAAGTTTACAAGGACAATTTCAGTGCTTTGTAAATTTATACTAGCAAAAATATACTGGGTGAGTTATAACTATTGAGGTTTTAGGGTTTAATTTTTTATTGAGGGAGAAATAACCGCATTAGACACGAAAAATTGATTGAGGTGTTAAAAGATGTAGGGCTGGACGGACACGACATAGCTATAATAAGCAATACATACTGGAACCACACAGGATGTGTTCGAACAGACAACGGAAATACCAATTATGTAAACATAGAACGAGGAGTGCGTCAAGGGTGCATTCTGTCCCCTCTTCTATTTAATGTCTATGCCGAAAATATCATCAGAGCTTCTCTTGAAGATCGCCCTGAAGGTGCCAGAGTCAATGGAATAATCATTAACAATGTAAGATATGCCGATGACACCGTAGTATTAGCAGAAAGAGAAGACCAACTAAAAATATTGATGGACATACTATCAGAAGAAAGTCACAGACTAGGTTTGGATATTAATCTTTCCAAAACCAAAATCATGGTATTCCACAACAACCCCCATGAACAGATTACACCCAACATACAAATCAATGGTACCACCCTTCAGAGCTCCCAAAGCTTCATATACCTGGGCAGAGAGCTAAACAGTCAGCTGGACCACTCAAAAGAAATTAGAAGACGTATTGAAATAGCAAGATCTGGCTTCATGAACATGCGTAAAATGCTCTGTAACCCCAAGCTATCAATCACAATAAGGTTAAGAACACTAAAGTGTTATGTGTGGTCTCTACTACTATATGGCTGTGAGACCTGGACATTAAAACAGTATGACGTCAACAAACTGAATTCATTCGAAATGTGGATGTACCGACGAATGCTAAGAAGCTGGACCAGCAAAACTACAAATGAAGAGGTACTGGAAATAATGAACACACGACCTCATCTGGTTAATACAATCAAAATTAGAAAGACGTCATATCTAGGACACATAATGCGCCATAAGGAATTTGAGCAGCTCCAGGTAATATTAGAAGGCAAAATCGAGGGTAAAAGGGGTATAGGAAGAAAGAAGAAATCCTGGCTCCGAAACATCAGAGATTGGACTCACACAACAGGAAATGACTTAATCCATCAAGCCCAGAACAGAGAGAAATTTGCCATATTGATCGCCAACCTCAATAGAGAAGGCACTTAGGAGGAGGAGGAGAAATAACCAAACCCTACTAGGGTTTGGGTATTTGTCTAAAAATAGTGCTATTGGACCAAATATTTCTTTTTAATATGTTGTTTACGAAAAAGATACATTATGTTAAAAGTTATATAATTTTATTTAGAATTTTACATTTTCATACAGGAGCCATCAAGTGGATATTTCCTGATCTCAAAAAACTGTTTTTAAATTTCAGAGTTGTTACTGCTCCAAAAAATATCATCTTCCATAGGTTTTGAATTGGTTTTATAAAGGCTAACACATCAACCAAAAAGTAGATAGTTGATACAGCTAAAATATTTTTGTACTTAATGTGAACGTATTAATTAATAATTACTAATGAAATTAATTTGGCTTTGTTTAATGAATCTTTACTTTCTACAGGTGAATATGCTGGAGCCCAAGGTTTAGGTCTTTTGAGACTGCATTCTACGTTCCGACACGATCTAAAGATATATGCTTCTGACGAAGGTAGGGTTCAAATGACGGCTGCGGCTTTTGCCAAAGGTCTGTTAGCTTTAGAGGGAGAGCTCACTCCAATTTTAGTGCAAATGGTTAAAAGTGCAAATACGAATGGACTTTTAGATAACGACTGTGATAGTAGCAAGTATCAAAATATGTAAGTATAGTATTCAATTTGTTTGTTTAAGAATATACAAATTAATTATCATGTATTTAAAAAATACTAAAGATCATTAAGCCGTGAAGTTGTCTTTTTTAATATTTCAATATTTAGAATGTTATGAGAAGATTTAAATATTGTTCTGAATATATTTTTTTGTGTCATTTTAATATAAAGCTCTATTTATGAGAGTGAAGGTTTTGATTTCCACTTTAAAAATCGTTCTCAAAATATCAATTTGTATCAATTTTCTTGGAGGAGAGAATGAAGAAATTTAAGAGAGCCCTGTGTCTAGCAGTGGACATGATATATGAAAACTGCATGATGATGATGGTCAATTTTCTTTAATAAAATTTAAATTGTTTATAAATCTTATTATATTAAGGGATTCTACAGTATTCATTGCCTTCCCTCGCTCAACCGTTTCCATGTCTCTCTGTTGTCTCATCCATAGTTTAGGCCTCTCTTACTCATGGCGTCGTCTACTTCGTTAATCCAGGATCTTCGGGTAATCCTCTTTTCCTCCTTCCTGTGGGCTTCATTCTTCTTCTTCTTCCTATGCCGTCCCCATTAACGGAGGTTGGCGACCACATTTTTAAAAGCTTCTCTGTCTTTTGCAACGTGGAATAATTCGTCTACAGTCATGTTTGTCCAGTCTCGAATATTTCGCAGCCATGACTTCCTCTTTCTACCTATTCCCTTTTTGCCATCGACTCTACCCTGCATGATGACCTGCAGAAGACTATATTTATTATTTCTTAGTATGTGTCCAAGGTATTGCTGGGCTCCATTCGGTTATTCTATTTATCCATCTGCTGTCGCTAGTTCTTCTTATATATGTTAGTATGTCTGTTTCTATTGATGTTCTTTGCTTTATTTCGTCATTACTTCCCAATCGATTCTTGTTACTCTGCAGCATCTTCGCAGGCATTCCATATCTGTTGCTACTATCTTTCTGCTGTTTTTCTTGTTTATTTATCTTACTGTGTTAAAAGAATTAAATTAATTATTGTTTACTTTACATTAATGTTTTTTTTTACGTATAGGTGCAAGACTAGGTTACACGAACTTATGCAAATAGATCGAGACTTTACACAAGAAGACAAAGAAAAAATTAATCCGTGCAATTCCACTAGTATAGCAGATGCTTTAGAATTCGTAAAAAATCCGGTAAAATGTTGTAAACACGTCCACGAATTGATTAAAAATTTATTAGGAATAGTGCAAATTAAAAAAGAAGATCCAAAAAGCAGAGGTAAGAATACTATTTCAATGCCCTGAAACTGTTGAAAATTTATGTTGAATATTATGTTATGACAATTACATTTTACATTTGTTTTGATGCTATTTACAATGCGGAAATCGTTTTTGAAAACATTTTTAAAATTGTTAGTATTATTAGTGATCTTAACTTAGTAACCTGTAAAAATGTTAATTTGACAATTGTCTTACTTGGCCTCGACTGGTAGGATTAACCATGGTTTGAGTTTTATCGATATCAAATTCTGATCTTTCTGTGACTTTTGAAGACTTGTAAATATGATCATAAATTTGAAAATTAAGACACCTAGTTAAAACGCTGTAGTATCATTTCTGAGTTTTTTAACATATGTAGCGAAAGACTGCAAGAAGAAACCACCAAGTTAATACATGAAGTGTCGTTCAAAGTTAATTCACGAACAAGAAAAAGGTTAATGTTGTTTGAAACATTCTAAATGTTTGGCATTCCTTTTCTCAGATAGCTTAGCTTCCTCCGTAGATGTATTAATTGTTACTTTGGAAACGTCAGAGTCTTCTAACATTATTGTCACAAATTGGTCGCATTGCTCCTGTAGTGATCCTCTCCCAAGTTAACATGCTTCTTTTCTAACTTGGCTGCACGGTACTGAAGACGACCAATAGTCAGAAATACATATATACGGTTGCCTTCCATCTTAATCACATATTTTATTATATTGTTGGGAGCTATGCCGATACCTTCTACCTTTATTTTATTGTGAACTCGAATTAGGTGTGTGTATGGTATCAAATAGAATTACACTATGGTATCTAAGAGGCGTCAAGAGATCAAGAAGACGTCCAAATTTAAGATAGGATTATGACATAAAGAAACAAGCCAAAACAAGAAAAGCAAATTTTAGAAAATCGTGGGCAGATATGAAGAATGAATATGTAAGGAAGGCTACATCATAATCGGTAGAATATGCTTAGAATGACGATGATAATATGTGTGTGGTACAACCTTTTCTAAAATATTTTTCTCTTAAGCTTTTTTAAATCTTTGTTGTGGTTCTGTAGAGATGTAGGAAGAAGACGAACTCCTGGCTACGAAATCTAAGGAGTGGTTTGGTCTGAGCTCTAGCCAACTATTTAGAGCTGCTGTAAGTAAAGTAAGAATTGCCATGTTGATATCCAACCTTCGTTAGAAGATGGAACCTTAAAAGAAGAAGAAGTGATGTTCGATATGTTTCTCCTAAATAAGATGATTCCAATGACTTGGTTTACGAGTGGAGCTCAGTTCCAATTTTTTTCATGGTAATATATTCAAAAATAAGCTCATCCAAGTTTTGCCGTTGGCTTTAGCTTATTTATTTATTTATTATTTACCGTATGGCGTATACAAGTCACCTATAGATAAAATGCAATGATAAATAAATACATAGATAGTCATAGCCGAATATTCAGGTTCAATATTTAGTCAATTTCTCAAGGTGTCACGTCCAGGATGTCGGTCACTTTGCCGGCATAAGATCTCAGAGAGCATTATGTTACGATAAGTGGATTGTTGTTACCCCGCACTGTAATCACACTCTGAGGAAGAAAGTCTGTCCGACCTAAATAGAGAGTTGACATTGCATTTCCCATTCTGATTCTATTCAGAGTAGTCACCGCTTTCGAGACAGATCTAAACCTGGAGGCTTGCGCATTGGTACTAGTGAGTTATTAGATTATGGGAAAGCCTGTTATTCCCATTATTTTTTATATATCAGGACTTTTTCGCTAACCAGAGGTGAAAGTAGTGTAATCTATTCTAGATACTCCTCTACTCAGCAGCGTGAATAGGTAGTTATTGGTTTTTCTGTAGTTTTTGATACTTCCTGCCGAGGCTGGGTTCTCTACGCAGGTGTGGTGGTGGGATATTACTCAATATAGGTAGCTAGTATGTAGGAGTTCATTTTATAGTTCCTGAAATGATTCTCATTGTTTGGTTTAGTTCTACATAACTTCTCTGTGTGAGTGATATTTAACATACTGGAGAACAGTACTCCTCTGCCGAGTTAACTAGTCATAAAGCTGAATTGCACAGTAAAGATACATGAGATCCCACCTAATAGTACTGCATAATTTTTGGATGATGTTGTTCTGGTTACGGTTATTAAAATGTTTTTAATACAGAGTTCTATCGAGCGTAATGATCAGGTTCTTTGGGGTTTTAGCCCAGGTTTTAGCTCATTATATAATAACCAGGAATTTATGTTGCAGATGCTGTTTTGTATCATGGAGAAACTTGGGAATTAATGGGAAGAAGATGGGGGAAAATAGAAAAAGACTTTTTTACAAAAAACAAAACGTTTGATATTAGTAAAATACCCGATATCTACGACTGCATTAAGTACGATCTACAACACAACCAACATACTCTGCAGTTTGATCAGGCCGAGGAATTGTATACGTATGCTAAATATTTAGCTGATATTGTCATACCCCAGGTATTTATTTAAAAATGGTACATTATTAGCATTTAAAATTATTATCATTACAGCATATACTATCAATTTGAATACGTTCGTGAATATTTTTTTTATTCCTTAAATTTTAATACGTTCTTGAGATTTCCATACATGTTTTATGATTGATACTTCTTAGTTTTCCTGTATTATAGTATTAGTATAGTCCGGCAATCAAGTCATTGTTGCGTAGCAAAAATATTCTTGGTCACATATCGTAGTCAAGGAGATGCTTTCACGACTGTTCTAATTATACAGTGTTTTCTGGACTTGTAGGCTGTGGTGTGCAATTATATTTCCTAGAGTTTGAATTGCAAGGAAATATGTAGACATTGTTTAAGACGATACTATAACGACCTTAGCTGTTTTCCTTTGAGTTACGACCGTTGCGGCACGCTTTTAATGGTCTGCCACAGTCCCAGACGTAACGTCGACTATAATTACTTCCGGGATAAAAAGAACCAGACAAACCAGAAAAACAACATATTATGACTCTAGACGAATAGGCATCAAATTAAGAGTAACCATTAGACCTAAATGGCAAAATAAACCATACTGTATTCCATTTAAGGTGGGGCGAAGAAAATAATTGGTCTTAAGGTAATATAAACGGGGCTCATCTATACATTAATGGGACGCAGATAGAGCGAGTAAAACAGTATTGTTACCTGGGAACTATTATTAACGAACAGTGGAGCAATTTACAGGAAATAAAGTGTCGCATAGGAAAGGCAAGAACGGTCTTTAACAAAATGAGCGCCATCTTCAAAAGTCACAACATATCCCTTGATACAAAAATGAGACATTTGAGATGCTATATTTTCTCTGTGTTGTTGTACGGGGCGGAGGCATGGACGCTTACACACGCCACTATTAAAAAACTTGAAGCATTTGAGATGTGGCTTTATAGAAGAATGCTGAGAATATCATGGACAGCAAGGATCACGAACAAGGAAGTTCTAGGAGAAATGAAGAAGGAACCAGAGATTGCGTTTACGATCAAACGCATAAAAATTGCAATATCTGGGACACGTTATGAGAAATCAGCACCGTTACTCCCTGCTACAGTCTATATTGCAAGGTAAAGTCAAAGGTAAGCGAGGACCCGGTAGAAGGAGAATATCGTGGCTGCGGAATTTAAGAACATGGTTTAAGAAAACCTCAACGGAGCTATTTCGAGCCGCAGCGAGCAAGGTTATGATTGCCAATATGATTTCCAACATCCGAAACGGATAGGAACCAGAAGAAGAAGAAGAAGGTCAATGAGGATAAGAAAAGTAAATGGTGCTTACAAAGAGCCCAACATTAAGAGGTAGACAAAATTTATCGATAAATGAATACAACTTAGAAGACTTTAAACAGTTCAAGTACCTAGGAGCGATCATAACAGCAAAAAACAGCTATGAAAAGGACGGGGAAGCTAGGGCTATTACATGAAACAGCGCATATTATTTACTAGCGACGGTGCTTAAATCAGGAATACTCTCAAGAGCAGCAAAAATAAGAGAATATAAAACCATAGTTCGTCCCACAATAACGTATGGAAAAATACAGAGACACTGAACCAGCGTGAAGGCACAAAGTTGCTGGTGTTGCAATGGAAGATACTACTGACTCTCTTTAATTTTTTTTAGAAATGAGACAAAAGAAGAATGGAGTAAATATAACCAGGAACTCCAGCCACTCTATGAAGATGAAAATATAATACGCATCACATTTTGGAAAAGGCTCGTAGATAAATATAAAATAGATTAGATAAATAGTAAAGTTACCATAAAAACAGTTATTCAATTCTTGCAGGATTTTCTTCCTAATATTTTTGGATATCTTTCATAAGTACTGAATTAATTCTTAAATCTTTCATTTTCTTCCACAGTTGTGGAATCAGATCTTTTAAGACTGCTTCCTAACAGATCAATTCAATGACGGCACGATATCGATGAAGCATGTGTTGTGCCGTTCCTTTACTGCTCTCTACTCACTGACATGTGTCTTTTTAGCATTTTAGTTCAGGTGGTTCGTTTTAGAGCAGAACGTTGTAGAACAGATTTAACCGCTTTCTAAAATTAAATAATAATGCAAAGTCGTGGAACAAATGTCGTATGTCGAGTACATGTATGCCGAAGGTTAAATATAACATGCTTTATCCCTAACGCGCCGGTCAGACCTGTGGGGGAATGACCATCAAAATGGTAGAAGGTAGAAGTGACGTATTGTGTCACTATTACGCTGACCCAAGAGCATATGGATTTCTAGGTACTCTTTATATGGCGACTCTTGATGTGTACATTATCTATGATGTATGGTACAGTTGTTTCGTACTTCTACTAGGTTTCGTAGTATTCTACCTATTTCTGGTACATTGCACTTAATTATCGATAATGTTTTAGATTGTTATTATTATCAGTTAACAATGTTATTAGGAGGTAATTACTGTATTTTGTGAGAATACACCACAATTTTTATTAAAAGTATTTTATATTTTGATTTTAACCTCGAAAATTTGTATTTTGAGAACAATTTCCAAGGTGCAAATCGAAATGTCAAATATAAAGAAATTTTTAATCAAAAACTATCAAATTGGCGCTTGGTGATGCCAGTAAGATAAACATCGCCAATAGTTTTTGCTGTTTATTTAATTAACTGTGTTTTTATTACATTTTTTACTATATTGTCTCTGTTACTATTTAACTAAATATTTAAGTATAAACACACTCCAATAATTGCATGCATTTTCAAAGTATGTTTACTGTCTTAATACATTTTAACATTCTTCATTAAAAATTTTGTCTTTGGTTATGTGTAAACTAACCGAAAACTAAATAAATTAACTAGAATATACTCTTTTCTTATTCTAACTCTTACGGAAAAAGGAATATGGCCTGACGTCCCAAGAGAAATTGACCATCGGACAGGGTATCTGTACGCCGCTGCTGAAAAAGATCAAGGCAGACCTGCAGAGGAACATAGAGGAAACTGGAGAAGAGAACGTAAATCGATTGAATCCGAGGTATTCGCATGGTGTTTCCAGTCCTGGAAGACACGTTAGAACACGACTGTATTTTACCAGTGAAAGTCACATTCACTCGTTGATTACTGTCTTGCGACATGGAGGGTTAGTCGATGTAAGTATTCTAGTCTTATTTTACTAAATTTTTACAAAATCAGGGTTTATTTTAATGACGACGAGCTTAATTAACTATATAATTTTTAAGATATGGTAACTCTGATCTAGAGACGGTCAGACGTCTCAAGTTTGCGTTATATGTAGTATCTAAGTTTCGTTTTCGATCCCCCTAAGATATTTTAAATTTTATCTATCCATCAACGGAAGGAATCCAACGTCATGTATCCCAGGCTGTCGTGGTTGGATCTGACATCAAGTCGTCCATCTAATATTATGATAAATCCATTTTCATATGTTTAATATTGTACCAATTCCATATTTAATTCTATTTCCATTTATCTTTTATTTAAGTATGTATTTGGGTTGGGATCTTGGGGATTATAAATAACATGATTAATTAATACTGTTAAAAGCTCGTATACACTCCAAAACTACTTTATCCAGAAGTTTTGAACTCCGTCTGGTCCAGGAGATTTCCAGTGATGAAGCTCTTTGATAATGTTCGAGACTTCTTCAGTGGTGAAAGGCTCATATGGAATATTGGTGTAGTGTTGACAGTTGTGCGTTGTTTCTTCAATCCACCCAGCATTAGTATTATGAATAGCTGCCGTCGAAAGTTGGTTTCCCCAAAACGCGTGAATTTCTTGGCTTAGGTAGGATTTATTTTCAAATTCTACACTGGAATTCAGTTTTCTATAGAAAGCCTTGTCTGTATGATAAAAAAGTATATTGTCGCATTTCCGGTTGTTACCAACTTTGTATCTCCTTAGGCGATCTGAATAAACGGAGAGTTTTTGTTTTAATGTGTCCAGGCAGTGTTGAGCTGTGTTGTTTTCTGGATCATGTCGTGAGTGTCTGGAAGTGTTCAGAATTATTTCTTCAGCTCTTTTAACTACTTTTTGAGTTCTTACTCCTCGAATGTATTAGTAATTTGTCCAATATCCCTACGCAATAGTTCAATTTTCCTGAGCAGCCGTTTTTCCCAGGGTGCAACTCTGTTTTCAGTCCTTCCGATATTTGTACTCCGTATCAGCATATGCAAATATTCTAATGTATAGGCTTTCACGATATAATTGGGTAGGACTTCAGTGTTGACAATAGGTAACCACCTAGTTTCTTACAAGAGTTTAGTTTTGGTAGCGGTGGTCTGCGGTAGAAAGATGTTTCCCGAGGCTGAGGGTTTCATACTCTTCATTCAAGATCAGGTTATTCCAACTAAAAATTACCGAAATATATTGTTAAAGATCCTCAAGTCCAAAATGACAAATGTCGATATGGATGCCAAGCCCAAGAAACCAGCCAACATCTAAACGGTGGCTGCCAGGCGTTTGTTGATGCTGATTATAAAGAACAACATGACACATTTTAATTTTTCAGGTTAAAAAAGACGAACAGTGGCGCAGAGCTATGGAGTATGTTTCGTGCGTCTCCGAATTGAATTATATGTCACAGATTGTTATAATGCTCTACGAAGATCCTACGAAAGATCCTTGTAGCGAAGAAAGATTCCACATCGAGTTACATTTTAGTCCTGGCGTCAATTGTTGTGTACAGAAAAACCTTCCTCCAGGTCCTGGTTTCCGACCTCATTCGAGAAACGAATCTGCTGCCAGTAAGAATGCTGTAAGTATTATCAATCATTGTAGACTTTCGTTTTGTAATGATAGGTTTCCGGAATTTATATATATATATATATATATATATATATATATATATATATATATATATATATATATATATAGGTTTTGGTCTAGTATTATTCTTTGCAAGCGTTTCGGAATTGCAACTAATCTACATATAACAGGAGGAGCGGTAAAGACCAAGGGTGTCTACCTGATGGTGAGCAAACGCTAGTTGTTGTCGGCTTTTATAACCAAAGAAAGGCATATACTAATTCATGAAGAAATAATTTTATACCAGGGCCTATAAATAAAATTAACATGAAAATTTAATTTACATTTTTGCTTTATTTGTTAAGTGGTTATTGTCCATATAAACTGAAGCAACTTGCTTTCACTACAGTATGTTTGCAACATTTACTACTTTATTCGATCAAAAACTTTCTTCTAATCAGTAAAACAAAAGTGAACCATCTCATTCGAAAGGTCTATTTAAATATTTTTTCTTTGGATATACTAATAGATTTACTGTCTTTATTTTCATATTAAAGAGTTTAAATACATCCGAAACGGCAACTCCAGAAGAAGGAAAAAGTAGGTGTTCGCCCAGAATTGACGAAGAAGTCGAAATGTGTATAGAAGAAGAAAAATATATAATTAATTCTCCGAAGGATTCCGAATCTCCGACAGATACTCAAAAGATGTCACCGCCTTGTTCGCCGGAGATATATTATCGGGGAAATATGAAAATTAGTAATCCCATTCCTATAGGGTAAGTTTCTATTTGCAGGTTACATTTTTCTATCATGCTCGAGTTCCAGCAAACTTAAAATCAATGTAGATATTTTATTATGTAATACTTTTTCTTACATATTTGTTTTTACAAAAAATGAAACAAAATGACTATCTAAGAATTTTATTAAATCTACACAGGATATGTCTTCTTCTTATGATACTATTTTCATTGTAAGTTGACAACAATCTCAGCGAAGTAATGTCTATCTTGTGCAGCTCAAAACAGTTAATGTAAGTATTTATTTTTAAGGTCGTATGAATCTCCTTTTGTGAATTAACTGGTTTAGAAGTTGTTGAAGAGCTTACGAATTGTCAGCAAGGATTGCAATGTTCTCTGCATAACTTTGTCCTTCGTTTTGATTTATTTTATTGTTGATTGGTTGTGTGCAATATATACTTCATTTAAATTCAAGATAAGCTTGAGGTAAACAGGTGATCGTTTCAGATAGGTGATCGGTGGGTGTGTCGTGCCTGCGCAGGTTGTCCTTGTTTAGCACTTAATTTCTAACCAAGGGCAAGGTATGACGACATGATACACCCACCGATCACCTATCTGAAACTGTTTACCTCGAGCTTATCTTGAAATTGAATTAAGTATAGCGTAGAACTCTTCGACTATTCCTATTACTTTTTAGTTCCTAGTCTGTTCAATTTGTTCATGTTTAAATTTCCTAATATATGTTCTCACAGCTTTTGATATATGTTGATTGAGTGCCCATTATGCTTTGTGGTTCACTTTCCTCTTATCACTTTGTAACTGCCTCATTTCTATTATTTTGAGTTATGTTTCTAAAATAAGTTTTTCATCTCGTTTGTATTTGGGCAAAATTCTGGTTCAAGTGTGTCAACTATTTGTTTATTCAACTCATCTATGATGTTATGCTGGATCCTTTGTACTTAACTATCTAGGTGTTCAATCTGTGTTACTTTACGTATTATATTCATTTCTATATTCAGAAATGAATATAATGTCAAGGTCTTAATTTTTTCAGTTTGCATCCATTTCTTACAACATAGATAAACAAAAAAGCAATATAATAGTTTATATATATATATATATATATATATATATATATATATATATATATATATTAGTAGTTTTGAGTTTCTTGAACCGTATTATATTTAATATAAAATTAATATTTCTTGGGTTAGGTTCCATAAAGATATGTTACATGTGGAACTAGATTTTATTTTCCATTGCAATTAATCAACGTTTCGGCAGGAAACCCTTGCCTTTGTCAAGATTCTAAAATGTGTATAAATATAAGGACAAACAGATATTGTAAAATATGTATATATATATGACTTACCAAACCGTAAAACGTGACACAGACATTAACGAACTGATACATAAAAGTTGATATCTGATATCTCATTGTTTACTGTCATTAGTATATAATTATTTTTATATGGGCGTATCGTTGATGTTTTTGAAAAAGGTAAGGTGGAGATATGTTATGACTTTAAGAGCTTTTTATGATGTTATATTGTTATTGTTTAAATCAGATTGAAATATATTTTATTTAGGTTTTGTATATCTTTTTTGTCATTTATTGCGTTGGTGTTTCTTTTTATTTCTATTGATTCGTATATCTCCCTTTCTTTTGTTTTTTCTGTTTTTAAAATTTTTAAACTTTTTAAACATAAATATAAGCTTTATCAATTTTAATTCTGTAAACCTTACACGTAAATTCGAGACAAATGTTTTTAATTTGTTTGTGAAACAAGTTTTAAATTTACTAATCACTGATACTGTTATCTCATTAAAAAATCTAAACTGTCAACTCAATAAAAATGAATCAAATTTAATCAATATACTACCACCAGATATTTTTAATACATTTAAGAATATGTGTTTAAAACAGAGTGAATATATTTTTAACAAAACTAAAAATAGGAACACCAAAAAGATTAATAAATTACTTCTAAAATCAAATGATACTGAAAATAAATTAGAAAGATCTTGGGTCGAAAATTTAACTACCGTCGAAATGCCTAACGACGTACAAGAGATTTTAAGTTTAGGAGACAACTTTGCAGTTCCTGTTCATAATAAAAACGAAATTCCTGTGTCTGGTATTGTATATTCGATTGAAAATTCAATTTCTAACTTAAATGAAACTTCACAACATCAAATAAGAACAAAGTGCTGTAATATTTTATCCAATTTTAGAAACAAAAATAAATATTCATTTGAAAATAAAGAATTACATAAAAAAATTCAAAAGACAAAAGCCTTTTTGAGGGAAAATCCTAATGTAGTTGTATTAAAGCCTGATAAAACTAACAAAACCGTTATTATGGAATCTAATAATTACGACAATAAAATGAATGATCTTTTAAAAGATGACACCATATATCATAAACTTAGAAATGATCCTACCAATATCTTCCAAAAAAGAAATAATGCTCTTATTGACAGATGGGACAAAAGTGGATATATATCACCAAATACAGCAAAATCACTTAAGATACACAACGCTATTCCACCAAAAATTTATGGTTTACCTAAAATACACAAGGAAAACATACCTCTACGTCCTATCGTTTCCTGCATTCAATCACCTTTCGAAAATCTTTCAAAGTTCTTGAAAAACATTATCTCCAATGTCATAAATAAAAATCCTTATTATATTAAAGATTCCAACGATCTTATTTCTAAAATTAAAAACATTCACGTACCGGATAACTATAAATTAATCTCTTTAGATGTCATTTCACTATACACTAACATCCCAATAAAACTTGCCACTGACATCATTAAAAAGAAGTGGAATGACATAAAAGAATACACTAACATCCCATTAGAAGAATTCCAATCATCTGTAGAGTTAACGTTAAACTCAACATACTTTTTATATAAGGACGAAATATACCAACAAATGGATGGATGCGCAATGGGTGCAAGTATATCTAGTGTCATTGCCCAACTGGTTCTGGAAGACTTAGAAGAATCTGTCATGAGTCATTTAGATTTTAATGTACCATTCTTCTACCGCTATATCGATGACTGTGTCTGTGCTATTCCAACAAATAAAACAACCGAAATCTTAGATATTTTCAACAGTTACCATCCAAAATTAAAGTTCACTATAGAAATTGAACAAAATAATAAAATAAACTTTCTGGATATCACCTTACATCGCATTAACAATACAGTTAAAACCATGTGGTTTACAAAAGAAACATGGTCTTCACGATATCTTAACTACAATTCCCATCATCCATTTTCCCATAAGAAGTCTGTAATTATAAGTCTCGCTGATAAATCTATAAAACTAACAGATCCAGAATACAGACCAACTGCAATAAAAAAAGCAAAAAATGCCCTTCTAAAGAATGCATATCCCGAACATTTAATCGAAACTATTTTCAAATCAAGACTCAATAAATTTTATAACAATACAACTAACAACAAACCCAACAGTATCAAAACCACTTATACAACTCTTCCATATATAAAAGGTTTATCCGAACAACTAACAAATCTTTTAGCCAAACATAATATAACAGTAGCCCACAAAGGCAACAACCTCTTAAATAAATACTTCACAAAACTAAAAACACAAACTCCAAAACTTAAAAAATCACATGTTGTTTACGAGATACCATGTACAAACTGTGAAGGTGTCTATATCGGTCAAACCAGTCAACTGCTTCAATCCAGAATTCGTTCTCACAAATACGACAAGAACAACGTCACTGCGCTCACAAAACATGAAAGCGGGAAGAAGCATAAATTTGACTTTGAAAACATTAAAATTTTAAAAACAGAAAAAAACAAAAAGAAAAGGGAGATATACGAATCAATAGAAATAAAAAGAAACACCAACGCAATAAATGACAAAAAAGATATACAAAACCTAAATAAAATATATTTCAATCTGATTTAAACAATAACAATATAACATCATAAAAAGCTCTTAAAGTCATAACATATCTCCACCTTACCTTTTTCAAAAACATCAACGATACGCCCATATAAAAATAATTATATACTAATGACAGTAAACAATGAGATATCAGATATCAACTTTTATATGTCAGTTCGTTAATGTCTGTGTCACGTTTTACGTTTTGGTAAGTCGTATATATATACATATTTTACAATATCTGTTTGTCCTTATATTTATACACATTTTAGAATCTTGACAAAGGCAAGGGTTTCCTGCCGAAACGTTGATTAATTGCAATGGAAAATAAAATCTAGTTCCACATGTAACATATCTTTATTGAACCTAACCCAAGAAATATTAATTTTATATTATATATATATATATATATATATATATATATATATATATATATATATATATATACACAACGATATCTGTACACACATATTGTTTGTTATATAAAGAAATTCTCACACTGTATCCGGTCATGAAGCCATGCATCTTGCAAAATGTCTCAACGAGGAATTAGCTAATCAAGCTGCTCAGCAGGGTAGTCGCAGTTACGGACTCAACCGAGCAACTAGCCCCGAGTTAGATCAGCAGCGATCCAGGAGCTACGATCACAAGAGTCCTCAGAAGGGTAAAGGTAAGCCAACATTGTATTTTTTACTTTTTTGTTTTAGTTACTTGTATTTGCTTTTTGTTGTTAATTTGAAATTCAGGAAAGAGAAAAATTTACTTGTACATAGTTTATTTTATCATATTAACAATCTTCCAACATTCTACTAAAAAAACTATTCTTATTTATAATATACTATATACATATAAAGGTATATTAAGTAAAACTGATATATTCTATTCATATGTATTCACATACAATTTATTGATAAAATAAAACTGCGTCAAATAAAACAATAAAAATTTTAAAATAAAAAAATAAAGGTTTCAAATTTTTATACTTAGTCGTTTATAAATTGGTATTTAAAAGTTTAAAGGTTTTGATCAAAATCAATGAATATATTCTTATATTATATAAGGTTATTTCCACTTTGGATTTTGAGAACGAGTGGAAATCGAAATGTCAAAATAAACTTTCTTTTATGACTATTCTCTAGAGTTTAGTCTTGAAACCGGTCATCCTGGATTAATAAGCGTAGTTATAAATTAAGTATTGGTTTATGTGGAATAAACCACACAATTAATTGTAATGAGAATTGCATTTTACATTTATTTTTGACGTTTAGATTTCCAATCCGGAAATCGTTTTTAAAAATCAATTTGACAGTTGACCGTAAACCAATTTAACAGTTGACGACCACAGAATAATAAACAATCAGAATGCCCACTCTGGTTAAAAAGATAAGTACTGGTATACATGACAAATTAAGCGGGTTTAATTTATTTGCGGCAACTACAGACATAATATGCACTATTTTTTCGTACTTTTAGTTGAAGAATAGATTAAAATATTTCAAATGTAGTAAATTATTAATCTCTAAAAATTTAAATTACAATTCTGTCGTAGGTTGTCACAAATTTCTCAATTCGAGTCTATGTTTCCGTCTAAAACATGGCGTTCGCGCCCTGACAAACTTCAAAGGCGGCATCTGAGAGTGGGCATTCTGATTGTTTATTATTCTGTGACTTGGCCTTGATCTTTTAGACAAATAGCCACACTTTGACTGGCATTTTGAGAGGTGATCTACCCTCTGATTGATACCAAATTTTGATCTTTATTTATTTGGTTAATTATACAGTGTGTAAAAGCCAAATTGAATAAATTCATTATTTAGGTTACTGTACATATTTATAAAAAATCCCGAAACACGTCAAATTTAAATTATAACTTGACATTCTTTAACGTGAAAATGTAACACCTACCTTCAACCCCCTTAGAATGACAGGTACAACCCCCAATTTTTAAAATAGGAAGTATAGGCTTGTGATATATCGTTTGAAAGGTCTTTTCATTCTCCATTCAAAAATGTCGCTTTCAAGTTTATTAAGATTAATTAAGATAAAATAAATTAAAATCATGTGGTTACCGAAATTCGCTAAAATATACTCAAAACTTATTTCCCGTTTAGGTCTTGATAATGAGAAAGTGAACAAAAACCATAGCAATGTGGTTTTTAGATGGTAACCATTAAAAAACTTTAAAGAATTTCCGTGGCAACGTTATTTTAACACGCATTAGTAAATTGTTTTATTTAAGTTGTCAGTATTTTAATTTAAGTAAAAAGTTCGTTCAATTCAATTCTGAAAAATGGTTAGAATAACGGAAATGCATAAAATAACAGTTTTACAAATGATTGGTTACGGAGATAACACCCGAACACAACAGGAAATAACTCGCCTATTTCATGAGAAATTTCCTAATTTACCGCCTATATCCCAAGGAACAATAAGTAAAATAGAGAAGCAGTTTCGCGAGTTTGGTCATGTGAGGCAGATAAAAAAAAGCAGCTGCCAATGCACTGAGTGATAAACTCAAATTAGATGTGTTGCTTGAGTTTCAGGAAAATCCACATACATCGAGTAGACAGGCATCCACTACATTCAATGCTAGCCATAGATCGATAGTAAACATATTAAAAGAAAATAAATTGCATCCCTATAAGATGATACCTACTCAGAAGCTCATGGAAGACGATTTTGATAGGAGAACTTTTTTTTGTGAGCAAATGATGGACATTGGATAACAATATTATCCAATTAGAAGACGTTATGTTTTCTGATGAGTGTACTTTTTCACTTAACGGTCATGCTAATCGGCAAAATTGCCGCTACTGGGCCACGGAAAATCCTCACTGGATGAGAGAAGAACACACTCAATACCCTCAAAAGGTTAATGTTTGGGCAGGGATTGTAGGAATCAATATCATTGGTCCCTTTTTCATTGAGGGCAACTTGAATGGCAACAATTATTTGGCACTACTTCAAAATAATGTCATTCCAACGTTGGCAAATTTATATCCTGATCCAGGAAACCCTCAAGTTCCAGCGAATACGATATGGTTTCAGCAGGATGGAGCACCACCACATTACCAACTTAATGTCCGGCAGTACCTCGATACAATATTTCCCAATCGGTGGATAGAGAGGCGAGGATCGATTGAATGGCCAGCGCGATCACCTGATCTTACATTATTAGATTTCTTTTTATGGGGATATGTGAAGAGCCATGTTTACAAAACTAAACCTATTTTAAATGACTTAAAAGAACGAATAACGCTTGCGATTAGGTCGATCACGCCTGTTATGTTAAATAATGTTAGAAGACAGTTTTATTTGAGATTAGGATGTTACCAAGACGTTCGCGGTGAACATTTTGAACATCTACTTCATTAACATTCATAGTTTTTTTTCGTGTTCTACATTTTATTACATTTTGCATTACATTTTAGTTTTTGATTGTATTGTAGCGAATTTCGGTAACCACATGATTTTAATTTATTTTATCTCTATATATAGTTTATTAATCTATATAGTTATTAATATCTATAGTTTATTAATCTTAATAAACTTGAAAGCGACAACATTTTTGAATGGAGAATGAAAAGACCTTTCAAACGATATATCACAAGCCTATACTTTCTATTTTAAAAATTGGTGGTTTTACCTGTCATTCTAAGGGGGTTGAAGGTAGGGGTTGCATTTTCACGTTAAAGAATGTCAAGTTATAATTTAAATTTGACGTGTTTCGGGATGTTTTATAAATATGTACACTAACCTAAATAATGAATTTATTCTATTTGGCTTTTACACACTGTATGTGATGTTTCTCACACCTTCTATTAACTCATTAATCATTATTACTGACTCGTTCTTTCAGTATTGGTAACCACAGCCTGCTACATTCTATTGATGAGTTTGCTACACATTTTTCTTTATTTTTTAAGATAAGGCCTTCTTATTTAATTTTCTCTTTTTTCTGCCTGTTTCTTTCATAGCTATTGCTGCAGTGCACCCTGTCCTCGTTTTACTGTACACTTATCCTACTACTTAGTGGTCAATTCACAAGGTATTTCAGAAATGTAATTCTTTCACCTCTTCTGAGTGTTCTTGGATCTGGTTTTGGAAATAATAGATCTGTGTATTGGTCGATTTAAATGTTGTGACCGTGTCTTTATTTCCTTATCCTTTTTAATTTTTTTTCTATTTTACATATGGCATTGTTGTTATCTCTATATCGCTTCTTGTGAGAATTTTCGATCGTTTTTAATGTTTTGGTGTTTCCCTTCTTCAATCTTGTGAAATTCAATGTTTACAAATGATAATGGATAATCGTGTTTTGTTAAAATCTTTGTTAGCAGGTTTTTTTCTTCCTGAAATGCATGTTCGTTGGGAGCAGGTGGCATATAGAGATTTGATGATAATTTTTGATATTTATGTTGTGGTTTCAGAGATCATTTGAGTTGATCTATTGATGTTTTGATTTTCTGTATAATTTAATTTGATTGATTCTTCTTTACAGTTAACGTGGATTAATTATTCAGTGCTTCTGGTTCATTTTGGTCACGTTTGTGCGACATGTCGAGCTTTCGAAACTGTTTAGTTCCTTATACTCTATTTCGAAACTGAAATAGTTTATAGTTATGTATGGTTCTGAAAAAGAAAATTTGGTAGAATTTATAATACTATCTTAAATATACCACCTCGTAAATTCCTGAAACATCAAATATAACGGATTTTTGATTAAAATTGTGGTTTATTCTCACTAAAATAAAATAGATAGTTTAAAATTATGTTTTGAATTTTGAAGTATCTAAAAGGAATGATATCAGTTTAATAGTAAAAAACAATTTTTCTCTTTCCATTCTTATGTGCAGGTGCCCATTCCTAATATAAAAACTTTCGAAGTTAGTTTTTAAAACAAAACCGTAGAACTTTCACTTATCCACTTTATTCGTTAGTAACTAGCTAGTAGATCCATGTATCACTAAAATTTGTACATAAAACTCATAGTTACATTCACGATAGGACTCAAATAATGTTGTATTTTGTTTTAAAATATATACGGCTAGTAACCAATATCAAATGTTTCAAAAATATATTTTTTATTGTTTGGGAGAGAAATAAAATTAAAGCTCTAGTTTTATAAGAGTATTAAGGCTGTATTATTCTCTGTAGCGTCGTGGGTAGAAGAACAAAATTAAAGAAAGTACATATTTCCTCAAGATTCTGCTATTTTCTAGAGCTTTTTCAGAACAATTATTTTATCAAAAATTTTCAGCGTATTTTGTTATTCCTAATATTATGTACAGTTTCCTTTTTTTATGATCGCGTGTGTATTAGTTAGTCTAATTCCTTGGGCAATAAGAGTGCCAAAAATGTAATTTGTTTGAGCCACAGAGCCATCTAGCGGAATTTACTTCACGTAGTAAATATGATTTTCGTAAATTTCTTTTGGTAAATAATTTTAACAGATTAAAAATCGGGCTTAACAGAAGCTAGTTTTTAAAACAATTACTTTCGTGAAAAAATGTAAATTATTTTATGCGATTTTAAAGTTTTTCCAAAATTAAAGTTATTATCACCACTCGATATCTTCTTACTTAGCCTTGGTTATCCAACAATTTTAATATGTTTCTTCTTAATTATCTCCACTTACCATATAAATATATAAATTTAAATCCTTGTAAT